AGCCCAAGGGGGCAGGGAGAGGAGGGCAGTGTAGGGGGAAGGGGGCAAGGAGAGGCGGCGAATGCAAGGAGTGGCTGAGGGGGAAGGGGGCAGGGAGAGGCGGGGGTTGCAAGGGGGAGCGGTGGGGCAGGCGGAGGAGGGAGTTTTCGGGGTGGGGGCTGCCGCTGGAGGGGGCGGGCAGCGGGCAGAGTCCCGGCTCGCTGCACGTTGTGTCTGTAGCTATTTTGTAACTGAGCCCAGGCGCGCTGCTTCCTTCCTTGTTCGAACGTCCCCTTCCCGGGGCTGCTCGCTCCGGGCCCTGTTGGGCTGCGCCTTCCTCCTCCCCTCCCCGGCGGTGCGCTGGCTGGCTACGCGGGGGCTCTGGGGCCGCAGCGTTAATCCAGGGCGCGTGGAAAGGCTCTGCCCCAAACACCCGTGTCCCCTAGTGCTCAGAGAAAGGGCGCGTCCGTCTCGCCCTGCCCCTCCTGGGAGGGTGGCTCTGTGGTCCCTGCAGTGCCTGGTGCTAGTGAGCTCTCTGTCGCGTGTGCTCATCAGCGAGGTACGGTCCCCCAGCCCTTTCCTGGATAATAACCAGCTCTGGTTTCAACTTCCCAGTGTGCCCCTGTCACTGGGGCTGGCTTCCCCCTCCGCCTCTTAGCCCTACTGAAACCGGCTTTTGGAAGAGGTGGGTTTATTCTTTTCATAGTGACTCCGTTCCTCTTCAAACACCCCCCCCCCCCAAATCAGGCTCTCCAATGAGGCTGTGAAGTGTGATCTTTCCGTGAAACAGCTCTTATTGGTGTCTTAATGTGTTACATAAAAGTATAACATTTAAAGTTTAAAGGCGCACAGTACAGTAATTGCTGCGGAACTCTGAGGGTGAAGAGGGCTATTTCTCTGACGCTTGTCTCTTGTGATACCGACTTTTCAAAGACTCTGGCTGTTTTATTGTAAATAATTTCTTTTAAAGCCTGGTACGAACATTAAGCAATCCCTGAGTAGTCAGGGACTTCCTTCTTGTTTAAAAGGCTGCCCCTACAATATGCTGATGCTAAACTTCTGAAACTTTAAAATGAGCTTTTAAGAATCAACAATCGCTTTCGTTCAGGGCCTTAGTCTTGGATATGTCTACACTACATGTAGACATGGGGGGGAGGGATAGCTCAGTGGTTTGAGCATTGGCCTGCTAAACCCTGGGTTGTGAGTTCAGTCCTTGAGGGGGCCACTTAGGGATCTGGGGCAAAAATCTGTCTGGGGATTGGTCCTGCTTTGAGCAGGGGCTTGGACTAGATGACCTCCTGAAGTCCCTTCCAACCATGATATTCTATGATTCTATGACTACAGAGACTATTCCAGTAGAGCTATGTTGGCGTATCTATGCTAGCATAGTGTAGATGCAGCCTACAGCAACAGATGGGGTTTTTCCTCAGTGTAGGGATGCCACCTCCCTGAATGAAGTTAGCTACCTCAACAGAAGCTTTTTATTATTTTTTTTTTTTAGTCAACCTAGCTGCGTCTACGCTGGGGGTCAGGTCACCATAGCTATGTTGATAAGGGATGTGATATTTTTTTTTTCCACACCCCTGATTGGTCTAGCTATATGGATCTAACTCAGGGGTAGGCAACCTATGGCACGCGTGCCGAAGGCGGCACACGAGCTGATTTTCAGTGGCACTCGCTCTGCCTGGGTCCTGGACACTGGTCCCGGGGGCTCTGCATTTTAATTTAATTTTAAATGAAGCTGCTTAAATATTTTAAAAACTTTATTTACTTTACATACAACAATAGTTTAGTTATATATTAAAGACTTATAGAAAGAGACCTTCTAAAAACGTTAAAATGTATTACTGGCACACGAAACCTTAAATTAGAGTGAATAAATGAAGACTCTGCACACCACTTCTGAAAGGTTGCCAACCCCTGATCTAACTACTAGGTGTAGACCGAGCCTCGAAATGGCAGTTTTCTCACGTCCACCTTGCACTGGTGTAAATGGCTATGCATAGTGCAGGGGCAATGGTGGGCAGGGTCCCACGTCTTTTAAAATGTCAAGGCACCTTTTTAATCTCCCCATTTCTTACCAGCTCCCGTGGGAAGGAGCGTTCCGGGCCATGTGCACAAGTTTGTTTTGGAGATTTTTGAGTTAAACTGGCAACTTTTTTGTTTTGCCCCCCACAGGGGGGGATGCCAGTGATGATACGGTTTGTGCCTAATAGGAGAATTTAATCTAGTTTGTCTCTAGTATATGGCTGGGTTAAAAAAAAAAATTTCTCAGCAAGGGTTGTGTTAGACCAGAGGTTCTCAAACTGTGGTCCATGGATTACCAGTGGTCCACGAGCTCCATTCAGGTGGTCTGTGGATAGTTCCCTCTAAGGTGTGTGCCTGGGCAGCTGCACATGAGAGAATGAAGGGCCACCCACCTAATTAGTGGAGCTGCACAGGTGTGGCTCCACTAATTAGATGCCTGGACCCTGGAGAAGATGCACATGTAAGGTGAGGTGGTGGTCTTGGGGGGGGAATAGAGGGTAGGTGGGAGGGGGCAGTGGGGTGAGAAGAGAGGGTGGGGGGGATTTGGGACATGCAGGGGCCAGAGATAGAGGTGACTTTACCCAGCTCCAGGGCTGCAGCTGCTGGGGAGAGACGCCCTCCTTCCCAGCCTCAGCTCTGAGGCTGCTGTTGCGGGGGAGAGACACCCCCCCCTTCCCAGTCTGCTTTTATTTGTAGGACAAAAAAAAAATTTTTTTTTTATATAGCGCTTTTATCCAAAGCGCTTTACAATAGTTAGCTAATGGTACAAACAACATTTGGAAAGATCATTAAGTGATCTACCAATTTTCAGGTGGTCCATGTGGGCGGGGGGGGTGGAGGGGGGAGTTTGAGAACCACTGTGTTAGACAATAGCACCCTTCTGATGCTTCTCCAGTATTCAAATGACGTGCAAAGTGGTACAGATGCTTAAATGGGTTTTCCTTATTGATAGTGTCACACTTAAGCAAAACAGCTTTTGCAGCTGCAGACTTAGTTTTAATTGAAAGCTATTTTTGACATTTGTATATGCTGCCTGCATCTCTTCCCACTCTCTTTCAGCCTTCTCGATGCTGCATTGAGTAAACGGGGCGCAACTTTTCTGTAAGGCTGGGTTTTACATGAATGCTCTTGCCTAACAAAAAGACACAAACAGTTACATTAGTCAGCACTTCCAAAGCAATTGAATCATCAGTGACAATTGGGGAAGGATCTGGAAAACTGGCTAGAGAGAAACACGTGATGCCGCGAGTGGCGTTCCCACTTAAAGGGAAGAACTTTGTGAGGGAACCTATTTTATCCAGTGCTCTTTCCTTTCTTAGCAATACTGGTGCCAGACTTAAGAAATGTTACTGGTTTATTTGGAGGTGATGAGCAGACTCTTCCGGTCCTGGATGTAAACCGGTGCTGACCTGCCTAGCTACAAATCTAGCATTGTTTTGGCTGCACAAACTGCACTTGGTAAAATATCTCTGCGGACATATTTCCTTTCCCTTTCTACTAGATTACAGTGGGGGCTAATGGCTTAAAACTTTTTTCTGTTTGGGCTTTTCAAGCTTTCACATGGGCTCTTAATTCTGAAGCCTGTCGGGAGCAAATCCCTCTACGTCTTGAGAAAAACTAAAACAAATAATGTAGCTGTCACTTAGATGCAGCCACAGGGGAGGGAAAGAGGCTGGCTGTTCTCTTCCTCAATGTGAATTTTGTCATTCTCCCCTTCCCCCCCAATTACAATAAAGTTGGAAGGCTGACCTTTAGCTGCCCACATCTTCCTACATGCCTTTGTGCTGTAATGGTCACTTCTCATGGGAATTTCCAAAATGAGCTAATGGACACATGCTGCTGTTCTAGGCTTGCAGAACCCTGTGGACACAGAAGGAAGCTCCCCATCCATTTGGACCGTCCCTGTAATTCTCCTCTAATCTGGGAGGAGAAGAGCAATCTTGTCTTGGTTGCATGAGCGCTACCCTGTTCTGCCCTAATGGTCGGCAGCAGGATGAAGTAACACGTGAAGGGCCCCATTCACCTCTTCCCACAGCTGCTCCCTGCTCTTTTGTGCGATCTCTGGTGATGCACTAAGCAAGTTCAGGGGTTAGAATTGTCCCTGGTGGCTGCTTGTCTAAGACTGTCATGAAGTTTCAGCCTTAAAGTTCTTTCCAGAATTGGCAAGTTTGTGCCTTTGTCAAGTACACAGTACTTTTAACCTTGGGTAAACCTCTTGTTGCTGATCCTTCACTGCACATGCTGTTGCCAATTAATCTTCCATCCACTATACTGTCCTTGTGCTTCCTCAGCTCAGCGGGTGGCTCCTCCCTGGCCGTTCCTGAAATATTCACTAGAATACGGGTGGCTAAAGGGACAGTGTTAGCATGATGGGTTCTCTGTGTTCCAGCAGACAAGGATTTTTGTACTGATGTAGCTGTAGCAGTGCAAACCCTTAGCACAGATGTGCTGCGTGGCTCTGGTGTGACTTCTACCAGGGTAAATTGCACCCATGCCTACTGGGAGTTAGTGCTAGTATAGCTATATTGGTGCAAAATCTATGCTAGAGACAAGCCCTACCCTGCCTGACCCCCACATGTACTCCCCCACATTATGAAGACGCTGTGTAACAAAAAATTGCACTGGGATGCTCCACAGAGTGGCTGCGCAAAGGAACAATGTATATCAGTTTATGCTTCCACTGCAACCGCTCTTAAATTGAAAAGGGTATAGCTAACGTGGCTGGACTTAAATCTAGACCTAGGAGGTTTGTTTAGCCATGCCATTCTGCATGCTGTGCTGCCCCTCAGCTCCGGTTTGTGGGTCAGCAG